TTGCTTGTGAATTTGGATCTTATATTAGTTACTTTTTTGTTATTGTGACAAAAATAACGGAAATAATATAAAGGATAGAAAGACCTATTTTGCTTAAGGTTTCAGATGGTTGGTCCATTATAGTGATGGGTATGGGAGAGACACTTAAGGTTAAGTCATATGGGCCAGGAAGCAGAAGATGGTAGGTGTCATAAATCTGGTGTTCTCCTTTTCCTTTTTTTTATTCACTATTCTATGGTCCCACCCACTTTTCAGTTAATCCTGCCTGGAAACACCCTCACAGGTACACTTACAGATATGCCTCACCAATCTCCTATGTGATTCTAAGTCTAGTCAGGCTAACAGTGGAGATTGACTGTCACAGGTCTCATAGGTACACTAGACTTCCTGGATATTAAAACAATAAGAATTCTAGAGGTTTGTTTTCTAAGTTAGCAAGCTATTCTGGAACTAATGCTAGCTCTTTAATTTAGTCATGTTTGATTTTATACATACCATGTCAAATTGGAGAAGTATATGCAGAAATTATGGCAGAAGACATAAATAGCTATTGTAGGAATAGCAGTAGATTTTAACATTTATGCTGATTCTCATAACTTTTTAATAAAGTTTTTAAAATGAACAATGACTTTAAAGGGAGGGTTTAACTATGTTGCCAGAGTGATCTCATTATCCTTGTCTCAAGTGATCCTCCTAAATAGCTGAAAGAATGTTGTGTGACAGCTTGCCAGATTCTTTGCTGCATTTATTCATTTGTTTGTTTATTTATTTATATATTCAGAAGCCCTAGGTATTGAACCCAAGGCCTTGAGAGATATGTGTAAGCAGTCCTTGGTAGATTTAGACATGACCTTGGTTAGATAACACAGAGATGACATTTTATTTCAGCCATTTTCTTTAAACTGTTAGGTGCTATGATTCAGGAAGATTGTTAAGACCACAGTACCCATTTCTTTTCTATAAAATTACAGCATCTCTGTCTCTGAAGGTAGTAGTTTGAATTGCTGTAGTGTTTTGGCAAGGTATCCAAATCAGATGAATGTTACAACTTGATGACATATGATAGAAAGTTAAGTATAATCATATTTTTAGCTTTTATATTTTTAAGCTCTGCATTATTTGAAAGCAGCATATATGACATTTTTTGGTGTTAAATCCTTTTGAAATTTATGCCACAACTAAAATATTGAAAGTGATTTGGCTGAATTAATGCTGTTTCCAACAATTGAACTAAATATTCTTAACCCATTAGTCTCTTAATGGGATTAACAGCTTCAAAAATCTAATGCAATGATTTTCTTACATTCAGGGAGATACATTTGCAGTTTTCTGCAGTTAAAGTTATGATTGTCTAGCTAGCATTTAAAATGCATTAAAACTTAAGAATCCATTTTGGTGGTCTTTTTTTTAAGGTCTAGAATTTGTGATGCTCTTGTCTTGGTCTTTTAGGTGCTGGAATTACAAGTGTGTACCACAATATTTGTCTCTTGTATATTTTTATTTAAGAAACACTACAGAAAAGTAAATTCAAATTACAGGTTGAGCTAAGTACAAGCCTGTGATCTCAGCTCTTGAGAAGCAGAGGCAGGAGCATCATGAATTCAATGCCAACGTGGAGTACATAGAAAATTCTACACTGGCCTGAATTACATAGTGAGATGCTATCTAAAAAAAAAAAAGAAAATTAATTGGATATGTTTTTTGGTGGCACACATGTAATATCGGTATCTGAGAGCAGAGGCAGGAGGATTTCTTTGAGTTTGAGACCAGTCTGGGATACATACGGAGTACCAGGCCATTTATATTATATAACAAGGGCCTGTAGCACCATCACCACCACCACCCCCCCCACACACACACAAAGAAAATGCAGGGTTTTTTTTTATGAAATTAGATGTATGCTGCTCTGATCATGCAGTACACAAAAATGTCTTTGAGACTTTGCTTCCAGTTCCTTTGGTTTCACAACCAGAAGTAAAATTGTGTATAATATGCTAATTCTACTTTATTTTTTTGAGGAACTGTAGCTAGAGTTTTCCTGCCTGGCCCACAGTCAGGACAAATCTCTCTCACCTGCCAGTCCCACAGTCGCTCAGAGCTGACCAAGTAAACACAGAGACTTATATTGGTTACAAACTGTATGGCCGTGGCAGGCTTCTTGCTAGCTGTTCTTACAGCTTAAATTAATCCATTTCTATAAATCTATACCTTGCCACGTGGCTTGTGGCTTACCAGCATCTTCTCATGCTGCTTGTGTTGGTGGCGACTGGCAGTGTCTCTCTGACTCAGCCTTCCACTCCCCAGAATTCTCTTCTCTGCTTCTCCCGCCTATCCTTCCTGCCTGGCTACTGGCCAATCAGTGTTTTATTTACTAACCAATCAGAGCAACATATATGACATACAGAACATCCCACAGCACTTCCCCTTTTCTTTTTTTCAAAAAGGAAGGTTTTAACCTTAACCTAGTAAAGTTACATATAATTTGGGAATTTGAGCGTAGCTTCTCTTACTATTTCCTGCTCGAGGCGGGTGCTGTATCTTATGGAGACACAAAGAAAATTTTAGGATCATGGAGTAGTCCATGAGGCTGTATCGTCTGAGCCAGTTGCCCTGAAACGGTTCTGGATGTTGGATCATCTGGGCCATGGTGTCATCGGAGACCTTTCAGGGGGTCTTGGCTGGTCAAACCTGATGTGTCTTAATCTGGAACAAATCCATAGCCTCTGGCTTTCTGTGGAAACAAAAGCAGAGTCTCCTTTCCAAAGCAACATATCCTTATATTCAAATTTTGAAGTCAAGGTATCTTTAAAATATACATTTTGGCATAACTCAACAGCTTTTACAATCAAATGTTTTTCTGCAGTTAAAAGTCCCAAAGACAACACAATGCAGATTCTCTGTATAATATCCATTTTTACGTGGCTTATTTTTTATACTACCTTTACTGTCTCTTTAAAGACTTTATTTTTAAAAACTATCTGTTTATATAACTGTATATTTTCCTTTTTTCTCTCTTTTAAGCCTACGTACATTTTTACCTCCATTGTAAACTATTTTATCTGAATCAGTCTTATTGTGAACCTATTGCTTTAAACTGCAGCCTTCTAAGCCTGAAACAGCGCTGTGGCTGCTGGCTCCCTCACTTTAGCTTCCCAACATGGTGGTAGTACGTTTTCCGCTAGCTCTGGGAGCCATCAACTCTCAGAAATAGTGGGTCTATGCTTCTATCAAAGCAGCGTGTAGCCCAGAAACCTCTTTTTTTGTTTTGTACTAGCAAAGGCTAAATCCACCACTCAGCTTAATGTGCCACTTGCAGAGGCCTCATTCCCACCATACTGCAGGTTGAGCGCGCATGCCAGGAACCCACCACAGTAGCTCAAACATGCAGGCTGCCGCTAACTTGAGAGAGACAACAAGGAACTGTTTTTAGCTCCGTTTTTGAATCTTTTTTTCTCAGGTTTTAGGTAGAAACTCTTGCCAACACATTGGGCGCCATTTGTAGCTAGAGTTTTCCTGCCTGGCCCACAGTCAGGACAAATCTCTATCACCCGCCAGTCCCACAGTCGCTCAGAGCTGACCAAGTAAACACAGAGACTTATATTGGTTACAAACTGTATGGCCATGGCAGGCTTCTTGCTAACTGTTCTTACAGCTTAAATTAATCCATTTCTATAAATCTATACCTTGCCACGTGGCTCGTGGCTTACTGGCATCTTCACGTGCTGTTTGTCATCGGGGCGGCTGGCAGTGTCTCTCTGACTCAGCCTTCCACTTCCCAGCTTTATTCTCCTCCTTGTCCCGCCTATACTTCCTTCCTGCCTGGCTACTGGCCAATCGGTGTTTTATTTACTAACCAATCACAGCAACATATTTGACATACAGAACATCCCACAGCAAGGAACAGCTTTATTTTTATGGCAGCTATGCTGTTTGACATAGTTATCAGCAGTATACAAATGTTCCAGTTTATTTACATCTGTAGCTATGGTGGAATTGTCTTTTTAAAAAAACAAATTCTAGGATGTGTTCTTAGGTCTGCTGTTAATTGAACTTGTATTTTTGTGATTTTTATAATTTATCTTTCAATGAATAATATTTCAGAAGTAACGATACAGTGAGAATGATCTCACTTTGTAGACCATTCTAGTCTGGAATTTGCTGTGCAGCACAGGCTGTCCTCAAAGCCATAGCAGTCCTCCTGCCTCAACTTCTCAAGCATCTGTGAGTATGAAAGAAATATGACATGTGTTCTATACTGTGCTTATTAACTTCGTAACTTATTTTTAAGAAAGCAGCATTGAAGGACAACATAACTTCTTAGTCTTAACTATCATGCAAATGATTTGAAATTTTAGCTGTTTTTCCTAGGTTACTTAGTAAGATAGTAAGATGTAATTTACAATTTGTCTATAAAACGAGAACAAAGATATGAGTTTAATAAAGATATTTCTAAAATATTAAAGCTGTAAAATTTTTCCCTAGAAAATCTTTCAGAAGAGAACTTTTAATCCTAGGCACTTTTGAACAGTAATATTGGTTATAATAAATATCTCTTGCTACATAAGACTCTACGGCCAATTTACAGATTAAACAAAGATATATTTATTATCACTCTGTTTGTATGGGTTGGGAATATGGGCATGACTCAATTAAGTCTTCTGCTTAGTCATACAAACCTGTAATCAAGGTTTCGGCTCTTCTGCATTCTTATCTGGAGGCTTCACTGGGGAAGGTCTACTTTTAAACTCTCAAAGGTTTTTGGCACAGTTCTTTTCTATGTGCCTGTAAGGTCAAAGCCTGGCCAATTTGATGAGTAGTGGCTGGAGGCTTCCCTCAAGCTGCTTAGAGATGGTTATAGTTCTTTGTCATATGGGTTTCAGCATGATCACTTAGTTCAATCAAGACAATAAGGAGAGTCTCTAGAATTTTTTTTTGCATAATGTAACCATACAGATGAAATCCCATCACCTTTGTAATTATTCTTTCTCTTTGGAATCCAGCCACAGATTGTGTTTGTTCCGAGGACAACGGAGGCCATGCATGAATATGAGCATGTCGAGGTGAGGATCATGGGGAGTATCTTAGAGTGTGCTTGCTGTATTGAATAATTTGAAAGTTTCTCAGTTTTGTCAAGCTTTTGACTCAATATGCAGACATAGATTATTATTATTCTAGGTATTGTAAATGTACCTCTAAATTTAGATCTAATTTGCTCTAGTTGTTTTAAGTGAAGAAGGAAGAGGAGGTAGAGGAGGAAGAGGAGGAGAAGGAACAATAATAATAATAGTAATAATAATAATAATTGACATTTTCCAGAAGCCGTCAATACCTAACTTGTAGTCATGAAGGTTATTTGAGAACATAATTTCTTTAGACTATCACATTCTTAGTGTATTAATATTGTATACTACATGCATACAGTCATTTTCCTTGGTAGGTGTATTTTGGGGGATCCTGGAGACTAGTAGTAAGTTAATAATTCTATAATATTTGTTGTGAAAAATGATGACTTATATATGTTTTGTTAATGAAATTATTAATTTACATCATCTATTATTTCTTACCTTATCATTAGCCTCTTTCTTATTTGTATATCTTTATTTTTATGGTGTTTCCAGACTATTAGAAAGTGATAACATTCTTTTCTGAGAAAATTAAGATAATTTAAAAATATTCTTTATTAGACTGATGAGAGCTATTCACTTAGAGTTTTGACCATTTAATTCTTTTGTTGTTCTCAGAGAAGATCTTGTTATGTAAACCAGAGTGGACTTGATCTCACAATTTCCTCTCAGTCTCTCAAGTGTTTTGATTCTAGGTAACAGGCTGGGGTTTCATTTCATACTTTTTGGGGGCAAAATATTTTCCCATGAGTGAAAATGATTTGGGTTTTAGTAAGCACCAGTGACTTTTGTGGTATTCTGTAGATGAATATTCTTATATTGAAAACCTGCTCTTTGAAGGTCAATGAAGTAGGAAAAGTTAGGTGTTCTATTTGTGACTGGGATGATTCCCAGGATGCAGTGATATTTTTTGACTCATCCTGATTCATTTTCTTTCTAGTTCCTCCAGACTAACAGCTTCATGATAAATTAGTCATAAGATATGACTGGTATGTAACCAGTAGCTAAGTAACAGAGGAAAGTCATAGTCGTAGTTTCCTTTTTGTATAGATAATCCTTTTTGTATACATAACTGTTTATGTATAGATAAATATGAGAGTCACTTTATTGTAAAATTTTGACTATCAGGATACTGTCTTCCTGGGTTTTGTATTGTTTGTTGAAAGTTGATTGTTAATGACAAATTTATAGCTTGTGTTTTTAATACCACATTTCCCAATCTGTTGAGGCAAGGTGTAAGACAGTGGTGTCATATACAGAAAGTGGGAACCCTGGGTAAAGAACTGATACCGAATGTCTCCCTGATTAATTTTTATATCGGTTATTTTTTATTGACCCCTACAGTTCGCTTGTTTTTCAGCATTGCATTCTTAGAGCCATCCATTCAATAATGAACACTTAGGAACTGGCTTCTTTGAATTGGCCAAATGTGTCCAAGGACTGCTTGAAGGACACACAGAGTGTGTACAATTTATGGCATTTACTGATAAAGCTGCTCTGTGATTTGCATACACATCTGCTAACATGAGTCTTAGATAAATGTTCTTCCACTGTTTACTGGAATCTAATTTCTCACTCATGGTTAGTCTGAGTTTTGAGTATTGGTTAATATTGTAGTTCAGTTCTCAAAGATGTTCTTGTATTTTGATGTTGTAGTCCCTACACATACAGTTGGTTGTTGGAGCCGATACTTGCATTAGTTCAAACCTAGAATCAAGAAATAGCTCTGTCATAATTTCTTATAAATTATCCATTTTCCGGGGCTTTAATCTGTTCCTCTAGCCAGAAATAGGGTTTTCGTTCAAAGCCCTAGTTCACATACCTTTGTACTGTTGGAATTGTTCCTTTAGTGACAAAGACAGTGAATAAAAAGGAATTACACCTATACCTTTCTTAGCACAGGAACCTATTTTCCTGCTTCCTCTAATAAGAGAGGTTTTTTTCCTTTTGATTGGTACATGCCTTAATGTGGTCAGATATTGAAAAGGGAAAAGTATGGATAAATTTAGAAAGTTAGTATTATCTTTATGCTAACTACCTCAGAACTATATCCTTCTTGGGAAATTTTGTTTAGGCCTATAGTAGAGGGGTTCTATGACTCGGGCTCCCCACAGGCCAAAGCCAGGAGATACAGGTAGAAAATAAACTCTTGAGTTGTTTTTCAAATTTTGGTATCTTTTCCTATTAGTGTTTACTTCCTAGAGTCCCAAGATGGTTCCTTTAGTATTCTAAATAGGATTTTTAGTTGATAATCAGGGGAGAGGTGGACTTATTGAGCTTATTCTATTTTTGGTGTCACTGGTAGCTTTATTTAATTCACCATTCTTTCTGTCCATCCATCTAGTTTTACTTTTCTGTGATCTCTTACAAACAGGCATTGGTTAAATTCCTTTTCATTTAGACCGACTTACTGTTATTTAATTTGCAAACTCCTTAGATCAGTGAGATCTTTTTATACATTTTCTGTAAAAGGCCAAACAATAAATATTTAACACCTTGTAGTTATAGTATCTTTGTCACAACTACTTAATTTTGCTCTTGTAATGTGAAAGCCATCGTAGATAATATGGAAATAAATGAGTGTGACTGTATTTCCGTAACATTTATTCAGGACCAGGTAGCTAACCTGATTGGCCTATGGGTCATAGTTATAGATCCTTGATCAAAGCCTTCTATATTTACTTTTTTTTAAAGCTTTGCACTTGAAAATGTTTCCATAGCTGCTCAAATCTCCTGTAATTTAAGCTTTGTTCTGTATGGTATCTTATGAATTTAAAATTGAACCATATGAGATTTTCCATTGTGCAGTCATATGAAATGTTCCTATTCTAACGTTCTTTGAATGTATCTAAGGTAGATGTTTGTGAGACTTATTTGTATGTGAAGGTCATTGGTCATAGCATAGCCTTAAGAAACATGTAGTGAAACATAAAGCTCTGAAAAATTAAGACTTTAAGGACAATGTGTGAACTATATGTATAAATTTCCTTTTCTGAATAATTTCTTTGTACCCTTGACCTTTTGTTTTTCAGTAAGTAAATTGTGAAGAGAAATGCCTAGAGTTGTATTTTTCTTTGTTATTATTCTAGTTTTGATAGCACTGAACTTCACTTTTTGAAAACTGTTCTTCAGGTAAATGATCTTAGAATGGTTGAGGAGCCGATGGAAGAGGGAGAACCAGCACCTGGCCTGGTAAGTACTCAGGTTAATTTAGTGAACATCACTTGTAGCATATAAAGAGAGAAAATGAGTTACAGAAATGTACTTAAGGAAGTTGGTAAGAAATGTCAATTTTTTGAGATGGTTTTATGTACTTCCAGCTGTCCTCAAACTTAATGTAGTGAGTGTTGTTGGTTGGTCTTTGGTCTTTTTGGGGGGCCCGCCACCCAGCTCCCAAATAAATCACACACAGAGCCTTATTAATTATAAATACCTGGCCTTAGCTTGGCTTATTTCTAGCCATCTTTTCTTAATTTATCCTGTCTACCCTTTGCCTCTGGGCTTTTCCCATACTCTTACTTCTGTAAATCTTACTCCTACTCTGTGGCTCTCTGTGTAGCTGGGTGGCTAGCCCCTGGAGTCCTTCTCTGGCCCCTAGCTATTAGATCGCTCCTCCCAATTTTCTCCTTTTATATATCCTCTCTGCCTGCCAGCCCTGCCTATCCTTTTTCCTGCCTTGCTCTTAGGTGTTCAGTTCTTTATTAAACTATCAGATGTTTTACACAGGCACAGTAACACAGCTTCACAGAGTTAAACAAATACAATATAAACAAAAGCAACACACCTTAAAATATTCTACTATAGCTGAGGATACCTTGAATTCCTGATGCTCTAACCTCTGCCTTCTGATTTCTGAGATTACAGGCATGTGCCACCATACTTCATATTTGAAGTTAAAAAAATTATTTTCTTTTTATGAATGCACTAGTAAATACTCTACTACTGAGCTCCATCCCTAGCCTGTGATTTTTTTTTGGATGATATGGAATCTCACTCTGTAGTTCAGGCTCACCTTAAACATTTAACACACCCCCGGATTCAGCCTGCCCCATGTGTGGCTTTTCAAAAACCAGCTTTGTTGAAAATATACAGGCCATAAGAATCACCAATTTTAAGCATAACAAATGGCATTTTTACTTATTAGTATATAAGAAAAGTAGGTATTTAAATGCAGTATCCCCTGGGTTCAATTAAAAGAGATTATCATCAACTGTAGCTTGAGTTTTCCTGACTGGCCCACAGTCAGGACAAATCTCTGTCACCCGCCAGTCCCACAGCCACTCAGACCCGACCAAGTAAACACAGAGACTTATATTGGTTACAAACTGTATGGCCGTGGCAGGCTTCTTGCTAACTGTTCTTACAGCTTAAATTAATCCATTTCCATTAATCTATACTTTGCCACATGGCTCATGGCTTACCGGCATCTTTACATGTTGTTTCTCATCATGGCGGCTGGCAGTGTCTCTCTGACTCAGCCTTCCACTTCCCAGCTTTATTCTCCTCCTTGTCCCGCCTATACTTCCTGCCTGGCCACGGGCCAATCAGTGATTTATTTATTGACCAATCAGCAACACATTTGACATACAGACCATCCCACAGCACTTCCCCTTTTCTTTTCTTAAAAAAAGGAAGGTTTTAACCTTTACACATCTCCAAAGTCAGCTTGGTATATTTGGGAATTTGGGCGTAGCTTCTCTTACTACTTCCTGTTCAAGGGGGGCGCTTTATCTTATGGGGACACAAAGAATATTTTAGGATTATGGAATAGTCCATGAGGGTGTATCATCTGAGCCAGTTGCCTTGAAACGGTTCTGGATGTTGGATCATCTGGGCCATGGTGTCATCGGAGACCTTTCAGGGGGTCTTGGCTGGTCAAACCTGATGTATCTTAATCTGGAACAAATCCAAAGCCTCTAGCTTTCTGTGGAAACAAAAGCAGAGCCTCCTTTTTAAAGCAACATATCCTTACATCCAAATTTTGAAGTCAAGGTACCTTTAAAAATATACATTTTGGCATAACTCAACAGCTTTTGTAATCAAATGTTTTTCTTCAGTTACGAATATCAAAGAGAACAAAGTCCAGATTCTCTGTGTGGTAGCCATCTTTACGTGGCTTATTTTTTTTATATTAGCTTGAGCCTATTGCTTTAAACTGCAGCATTCTAAGCCTGAAAGGGTGCTGGCGCTGCGGGCTCCACCCACTTCAGCTTCCCAACATGGCGGTGATACGTTTTCTGCCAGCTGTGGGAGCCATCAACTCTCAGAAATAGTGGGTCTATGCTTCTATCAAAGCAGCATGTAGCCCAGAAACCTCTTTTTTTTTTTTTGTACTAGCAAAGGCTAAATCCACCACACAGCTTAATGTGCCACTTGCAGAGGCCTCATTCCCACCATACTGCAGGTCCAGCATGCACGCAGGCTAGGAACCCGCCAGTAGCTCAAACCAGCAGCTGCTGCTCATTTGAGAGACAATTAGGAAGCTGTTTTTAGCTCCGTTTTAGAATCTTTTTTCTCAGTTTTTAGGTGGAAACTCTTGCCACCACGTTGGACGCCATTTGTAGCTTGAGTTTTCCTGACTGGCCCACAGTCAGGACAAATCTCTCTCACCCGCCAGTCCCACAGCCACTCAGACCCGACCAAGTAAACACAGAGACTTATATTGGTTACAAACTGTATGGCCGTGGCAGGCTTCTTGCTAACTGTTCTTACAGCTTAAATTAATCCATTTCTATAAATCTATACCTTGCCACGTGGCTCGTGGCTTACCGGCATCTTTACATGCTGTTTCTCATCATGGCGGCTGGCAGTGTCTCTCTGACTCAGCCTTCCACTTCCCAGCTCTATTCTCCTCCTTGTCCCGCCTATACTTCCTGCCTGGCCACAGGCCAATCAGTGATTTATTTATTGACCAATCAGCAACACATTTGACATACAGACCATCCCACAGCAATCAACTTCAGAATAGAAAGATCTATCTTTAACACAGTTGGACTATAGATAGCTTGAAATATTTAAAATCCATTTTCTAGCTTTCAAAAGGGTTGTATTTAAAGTATCTCAGAAGTCTCTAGCTAGTTTTAAATATTGTTTACCCATTAGGTCATTGTATTTAAGGCCCGTATAAAAGAGATAATCTATAAAATCTAGTTTTTGTGAAAAGTATTCTTTTTTTTTTTTTAATATTTATTTATTTATTATGTAGACAGGAAAGGGTGCCAGATCTCATTACAGATGGTTGTGAGCCACCATGTGGGTGCTGGGAATTGAACTCAGGACCTCTGGAAGAGCAGTTAGTGCTCTTAACCTCTGAGCCATCTCTCCAGCCCGTGAAAAGTATTCTTAAGATGTTCAGGACGGTCAGACTAATATAGGCATTTCCATTAATGTTATGCTTTTTATAGTTATCATCTTTTTAGGTATTTTCATAGTCTTATTTTTTTATTTAGAAGGAACTTCAAATAAATTATTTTGTTATTTTCTCTTCACAGTATAGATTTGTTTATTGAGGTTTAGAGAGGTAAGACCAGTACATATTAGAATCTGTCTCATTAGGTGACTGTACTGTATAGATAAGAGTACCATTCTTTTCTTATGTAGTGTTGCAGATAGTCAAGAAATCCCTTAGAAAACGTGACCATCAGTAAGTTCATTTCATAGAAACCAGCAGAGGTAATTAAATTGAATTTAAGACTGCCGTTTGAAATGTTCTTTGCTACTAACTCAGTAGACAGTGACTTTGAAACATCTCTTTCAGTTAGGGTTGACAAGATGAAAAGTATCATGTCACTTTGGCATTTACAATTTAGTTAATATCAATAACATTTTAATTTTGAGGATAATAAAATTTAAACTCCAATCAAGAACATCTAAAAATGTACAGATCATATGAACATTAAATGGTATAGTGATATTTATCTTGCTATTTTCTTAAAGATAAGAATTATAGGTATCTACAAAGGCATTGGAAAAGAATGGCTCATATTTTAGCACTGATCAGCAAAGAAACACCAAACTCCACACCACAGGACAGGAAAAAGTGTGTATGTATGTAGGTGTATGTGTGTATATATATAGTTAACATAAAATTCAAAACATAGACCTATAGGGTGTCAGATATTTGCCTTTCTTCTTTTTTCTTTTCTTTCTTTCTTTTTCTTTCCAAGACTTGGAACTTACTTTGTAGACCAGGCTGGCCTTGAACTCACAGAAATCTGCCTGCCTCTGCCTCTCAAGTGCTGGGATTAAAGGCATGTGTCACCACAGCCCGGCTGATATTTGCCTTTCTAATTACAATATGAAAGTATTCTTTTTAGTAGGAAGACATTTAACATATACAGTACTAGATACAAATATCATTTGCTGTATACTGTCAATCTTAATAGTAGAATGTATAGAGATTAGTTTTAGTTTGTGAACCAAACTTAAAACCATGTACTTTGGCATTTGATTGATAAAACAGTTTGTATCATTAAAACTACATAGGTGGTAATAATTGCCATATAAATTTATCACTAGAGTGTTTTTAATGTAGAATTTAAGAGTTATGATTGTGGGTTTCAGTGGAATGTTTATAGCTATTTTTTTGTTGTTGACTTTCTGTCATTTTAAAATAGTGTGGGATAGTAGAGGGCGCTGTGCAATATATTGATTTTTTTTTTAAAGGTTGTTCTTTAAATATGAACCTGAGGGGCTGAGAATATAACTCAGTGGTAAAATATATGCTTTCATTCTAAAGCATTGTATTTCATCCCCAGTATTACACACATGCCACAGGCATGCATACACTCACACACAAAATTAAATTTCTGCTATTGCCTATGTAGTCTAAAGCTGTTTTGTGTTTGAGTCATTTAGAGATTTAATTTACTCTATCTCATTTAAATGGTTCCTTAGACTTTCACATTCACTTGATATATTTTATCCAATTAAAACAAGGAAAATTAAAGTGTTTCTTAGAGTCTCTAAATATCTAGTACATACAAAAGGTATCTGATATAATATTTTACCACCTAGTCCTCTGCTTCTAACATTATCAAGGCTAAAAGTATAAGTATTTTGTTCTTCATTACTAGGTGGCTGACATAATTAACTTCATACATGCTGTTGAAATAAGCATAGTTATATATTTGGTAGTTTGTGATTCATTTATGTTTATTTTTTAAAATATTATATTTTATATTTATTTTATATGAGTGTTTTGTCTGCATGCATGTGTGTGGACTGTGTGCATACCCTTGGAAGTCAAAAGAGAGTGTTGGCTCCCTTTGATCTGTAGTTACAGATGGCTGTTAGCCACCATGTAGGTGCTAGGAATTGAACCCAGGTCCTATGCGAGAGAAAATGTTCTTAACCACCAAGCCATCTCTTTAGCCCAATTTATGTGGCTTATGTTTACTTTTTACAGCTTCATAAAATATTTCTTATTTAGTGCTGCCAATACCTTAGGGAGTTTAAAGAACGTTTACTTTTAGATATCTTGTTGATGCCACTCCTCTAAGATCATGTATTTATTTTTTATTAATCAGAAATATAAATATCATATTTAACTAAAAATGTACTTGAAAACCTCCATTAAATTTCTCCATATTTTAGCTCCAAATTTCAAAAATTAAAAACCATGCTTGAAATATGTCTCTCAGACAAATTCTTTCAAAAATAATCTTTCTTAAGTATGTTTTACTTAAATTCACACAAAACATTAGATACAGAGTATTTCAAGCCTGTAATGGATGCTTCATATGTAGTAGATTTTGCTTGTCTGTTTTCATTTCTGTTCCTTTTGGGTAATACTGGATATTGAGTCTAGGGCCTCATACCTGCTAGGTAGCTGTTAGTGTTCTACCACTGGGCTATAGACCTAGCTATACTTTTGCTTTTTATTTTCAGATAGGAGCTCACTAAATTGTTCAGGTTAGACTTGAAGTCACTCTGTAGCCCTGGGTGGCTTTGATTTGCTTGTGGTTATCTTGGCTTAGCCTACTGTGTAGATGGGATTATAGACTTATGCCACTGGGCTTGGTCGCCTTTCTTTTTTGATGTATATTAAGCCTTATTGTGCTTCAGTATTTTGTTCTCTTACAGTGGTGGTAATCAGTTTTCCTTCTATTCAACTTCCTTTCTTTCAAAATCTTAAAAAACTACTAATGTGCAAAACTCTCTCATGAATAATCACAACTCAGTACTGTTGGACAGTTACTATTAGGTAGAATTTATGCTTCATAATAAAGTATACAAAGATGATACATATAAGTTCAGTAACTTATTTTTATAGATATTTTGTTTTTTTCTTAAGATCCTATGTGACTGAGATTTGAAATAGATAGAGCTTTATTTTCATTTTATAGATGAGGAAACCAAGACTGATGTAATTAGAATAAACAAACCTAAGTAAGAATTAGTTTGCTGTCATCCTTTGGTCTACAGTCATCGGTATAAAATTTTGCAGTATAAGTATTCTGTGATTATTTTCCAATGTGTTCATTATTTTGATGTGTTTAGTTCAAGCTAGTAGCACTTTATTTGCATTATCTACATTATTATCATTAGTGTTAGCCTTTGTTCAGAGAGCATTGATACTGGCATGGCTTCTAATGACACTGCAGTATTCTCTGCATGTTCTTTTGTGTCTCCACATGTGCTTTCACAAGTCCACAACAAAATGTCTTCTTTTTGAATTTTAGGTTTTTTTTTAACTAAAATATCTTTTCTGCCTTGAAATAAAACAAATGCTTGAACAGATGGATGTTGCATTATTATGTAAACCCCAATGTATTTAGTCTTTAAATATCCCTCCATTTTTTTTTTTTTTTGTTTAGCCTTTTGTTCTGGAGGCTAGTCTTATAGTCTTGTGAGCCTTCTGTATTTGAGGTATAATAGACTGCTATTAGATTGTCTTCCTTTCCTTTTTATCCTAACAGTTGATCTCTTCCCCATAAGCAAATCGGTTGTCAAATGAATGAAGCAGTACTGTATTTGATTAACTGTTTTGTGCTTATTAGTGCATTTTTCTAGTGTTAACAGCATTCTTGGCTTCTTTTATGTAAAACAAAAATGATCAGAATATAGAAGTTGTTTTTCAGCCTTCTTAATTTTTTCTTAATATTAAATATACTTTAGAGTTTTGGAAAAGTACTTAACCCTGTAGACACTTGTGCCTCAGATTTGTCATTTAATGTGAAAAAAGTAGTGAACACTGTTTGGAAGTTATTAAATGTTTATTTTACAGTAACAACTTCATTTTCACAGATCAACTAAGAATAGACAGTGTATATATTTTCAAGGACTGCCCTAACAAAGGACCACAGACTGAGTGTCCTAAGCAGCAGAAATTAATTTTCTCACAATTCTGAATTCTATTAAGTCTGACATCAAGGTGTTGGCAAAATTGATTTTTCTGAGGACTTTCTCCTGAGTTTGTGATGGTCTGTGGCTTCACACCCCCTATGCCCTGTGTATGTGTGTGTGTGTGTGCACACATGCTTGCTTGCACAGGCTTTTTTGTGTGTAAGATTATCAGTCATTTGGGATTAGGGCACAGCCATATGATGTTATTTTTTTCTTACTCATCTTCTTAAATGTCCCTAATACAGTAATACTCAGTTCAACATAATACTCTTGAGTGTGTATCTGACTTTTTGTGACATTGATGTGATTTTAACTGTCAAGACTAGCTCACTGGGACTATTCTCTTGTCCACTTTAGACACAGCCACCATTAATTAGTCAGATAATCAAAGGGCCAATAGATAAGGAACATTTGACTTGACATTGTAGAACTCAAGCTTTGAGTGTGTTAATTTTGTTTTCTAGACATTGATGGAGCTGGATCAGAGGTTATATTTTGCTATTTTGTGATAGGGAATTCATGCAGATTAAAAAAATTGTTAGTCGCTGTGCTTTCCATTGGGACTAGAATTACAACACATTTGAGTATAGTCGTAACACCTGAGAGGAGTCTTCTATTATGGGGCAGAAATATTTCCTGGGAGGATTTCTTTTTCCTAACATAGATGGTAGGAAACTTGTATATCATTTATATTCACATTGTTAATAAAACTTCATGGCATGGGAACATTTTGAGTTCTGTAAATTATATTTTTGTGAGTTTCCTTTGCATTGATCTGGGTATTAAAATACTTAAGAATATAGTAAATTACTATTCAGAAGGACTTTTGAGATTTTTATGTTTGTTTTCTCACGACTTGCAAGTTTTTATTTTTACTTCCTCTGTCTTTGTCTCATAAGTTGCACTTCAGTGAGGTGCTTAAACATCTTAGTTTCTCAACTGACTGTGGTGTGTTCCACCCGAGTTGATACATCTACAGTACAACTTCTACACCTAAGGCTGAAAGAACATGGAAGAGTGGTTGGAAAGATCATAAGAGTCAGGGGATATTGTCTGATGCAAGATAGTATTCTCTATATAGGACAGGGAAGCTGCACCCATGAAATCTCAACAGTAAGGTTGCATAAACGAGACCTAAACAATGATAACACTAGCTGACATGCCATCATAGATGGTAGAAATCTCACAAGGTCCCACCCCTAGATGAAGTGCTGCAGGCCATGAATGACTGCTGAGAGAGGAGAATAAGTTTCCCTCTCCCAGATGAGTTCACTAGTTGATTATCCAGTGCCAAGTCACCAGCTCTAACAAAATATACATATGAGCAACACTAGATGGACTCAGCAGGTTTATTTATGTATTTATATGGATATATGTATAATAATAATAATAATAATAAACAGGGTATAATATAGCTAGAGTTTTTCTCTTTGGGTCCCGTCAAGCCCCGGCAGTCCCATAACCCACTTATAAAATAAACACACAGATGCTTATATTATTTAAACTGCTCGGCCATTAGCTCATGCCTACCATTGTCTAGCTCTTACACTTATACTCAGCCCATTTCTGTTAATCTATATGTTGCCATGTGTTCGTGGCTTTACCTGCTGCCTTTACGTGCTACTCCCTGGATGGCAGGCTGGTGTATCTCCCAGCTTCCACCTCCCAGCCTCTTCTCTGTTTGTCCTGCCTATCCTATACTTCCTGCCTGGCTACTGACCAATCGGTGTTTTATTTATCAATCAATCATAGCAACATATATTCACAACATACAGGACATCCCACAGCAGTATAAATTTGAGAGGGAGCATGGTAGGGAGTACATAGGAGTTGGAGGATGAGGGAATTAGGTAAATACAGTAGTCATCTAAAAATCACAAATAAAAATCAAAATAAATAAGTCTTAGTTCTTAATATTATTTTGTTAAAGTCTTAGTTCTTAATATTATTTTGTTATTGTTTTCTACTTGTAAAGCTGTTGCATAAATTCAGATGATTTCATTTACATGAAATTATGTAGTAGGAGCTGGGCTTGGTGGCAGAAGGCAGAGGCAAGAGAATTGTCAAAAGTTTGAGGCCCATCTGATACCCATAGCAAGTTCCAATCTAGCTAGGTATACATAGCAAGACTGCCTCAAATGGTTAACACCACCAACAAAACCCACCAACAAAAGAAATGAAATTATATCTCTATGTTATATCAGGAGATGGGAGTTGCTAGACTGATAGGGTTTATTATTGTATAATTTATGGTGTGATTTTTTTTTGAAATGGAACTAATCACAAGATGTTGGAACTGTACATTAGTATTATTTGATTTTTTTTTTTTTTGCAGAATGAAGATCTTAAAGAAATCCCTATTACACAGCATGTGAAAGAAGGATATGAGAAAGCAGATCCTGCACAGTTTGACTTGCTTAAGGTTCTTGGTCAAGGATCTTTTGGAAAGGTAATAAATACTTTTTCCTACATTTCCTTATCTGCTTGATATTTAACAAGAAATGTGTATGCATCCATAGAAATCATTTCTCTGGCTCTCAAAGGATACAAAAATGATTCTTTAGTTTTATATGTTTTATTTCTGTTTTTTATTTAGATTTCTTTATACTCTTCTATAGCAGTCACTGTTTTCTAATCACCTGAGTTTATATTTCTCAGGGTAAAAAAATTGGCATGTTCATTGCTGGTTGTCTAAATCACATACTTGATTTTTATGAAGATATTTTGTGTGTAACATAGATGACTATCTCCTGGTAATATTATCTCTGTTTCTTAGCTCTGTATGAGAATTTAGAGTTTATGCTATAATTTATGTATGGAATCAGGAGCTAACCCACCATTTTTTACATTAAAGTAGAACTAGCATAGATGATTTGGAAATGATATGAGGTTCTTGCTTTGAAGAATCTTTGAGAAAACTTAATTCATATGCTCATTATTGTATTTGTTTAGTAAGTATTTGGTAATATGTTCTCAGAAAGGAAGTATGCGGATATGGATCCTGTAGCTTGTATACCTAAAATCTGAGACATGAAAATTATTGAATGCATACAGTAAGTAATAGCCTTTAGGAAACAGCTGCAATCACTATTTGTTGGGAGAAAGATGGGAGAAATAAAATATCACAGTAGCTGAGAGTTCATTACAAGGAGGAAAATTAAGGCAATTGGTCGTGATTACAGTGATTAAGACATTTTTAAGAAAATATATTACTGAGTACTTAGCGTGTGCACAGTAGTTTTATGAAATATATCGGTGATTACAAACTAGACATTAATTATTTGTATGTAGTATGGTATATATGGTATAGAATATATGAAATACATAGAAATATTTTTAGGATACAAAAGACAAACTGAGATGGCTTATGGTTTTTCAATGAATGACAAAGTGATTGTGATGAATGATCTTGGTTATCAACTTGACACACCTGGAAAGAGGGAACCTCAGTTGAAACACTGCATCCATCAGTTCGGCCCATGGGCATGTTTGTCAGGTATTATCTTAATTGATGGTTGGTGTAGGAAGGCCCTGCACACTATGGGTGGTACCATCCCTGGATAGTTGAGTTCGTTCTGTATAAGGAAGGTAGCTGAGCAAGGCAGAGGAAGTATGGCAGTGAGCAACATTCCTCCATGATCTCTGCTTCAGTTCCTGCCTTGAGAGCCTTCCCAGGCTTCTCTCCATGATGGACTATAATGTGTAAGCTAAATAAACCCTTTGACGCTCAATTTTTTTGTTGTTGTTGTTGTGGTGCCTATCACAGTAGCAGAAAACAAAGTCAGACAGAGATAAAAACGTAAAGAGTAGCCTGAAAAGAAAAACTAGAAGGGCCTATTAATAGGTTGCTGGTGTTGGTAGAGGAGGTATGTAGCTGGAGAGTTTCTCTCCGGGTTCCGCCAAGCCCCTGCAGTCCTGCAGCCCACTTATAAAATAATCATCCAGATGCTTATATTACTTAAACTGCTTGGCCATTAGCTCAGGCCTACCACTGTCTAGCTCTTACACTTAAACTCAGCCCATTTATATTAATCTATACCTTGCCATGTGGCTTGTGGCTTACCGGTAACTTACATCTTGCTACTCATCATGGTGGCTGGCAGCATCTCCCTCCCCCAGCCTTCCACTCCCCAGAATTGTCCTCCCTCTTTGTCCCACCTATACTTCCTGCCTGGCTACTGGCCAATCAGCATTTATTTATCAATCAGTCATCCACAGAACTTCCCCCTTTTCTTTATTTTTTCAAAAAGGAAGGTTTTAACTTTAACATAGTAAAATGACATCTAACAAAACAATTATCAAGCAAGAATTACAGTTACAATATCTAGTCTATTTATAATATCTAGTCTATTTGGATTTGGCAAAATTAAAGAAGATATCCTATCCTATATTTGTGAGTCTAAGGTTTTATATCTAACTTATCTTTTATCATAACTAAGGAAATTTTAACTATCTAGTCTTCAACTACATCAAAGACCTCAGAAGGATATAATATTACCTGAGGAACGGGAGAAGGACGCAAGCAACTTTCAAGTGTCTTGCCAGAGTAGACAGAGACAGCTGGCAGCCTGGACAGTCATCCAAAGTTTTTCTGTAAAGTTGGGGCATCTGTCTTCAGTCCACAGGCCTAGAGTCTCTCAGTCACTTTTCTCTGTGTCTTGTAGAATGTCTGGCAGTTTCCTCTGCGAAGCAGGAACCTGAAGGACCATTTTGCCAAGTTCAGTGGTCACCTTCCTATGGGTTCTGTATGTGTAGTCGATACATTTTTTTAAGCAGTCCAGGCAAGAACAGTTTCTTGCCCAAATGACTATTTTTGCCAAGAAGATAAACTCCATATAGAGTGTCTTCAATGCCCATGTTTCTCTTTGAAGTAAATCGGTGCTGCGAGGAGCAGACATGTCTCACTGTCCAGAAAGTCTAAATTTTTAAAACATTTTAAATGCCATATTCTGTAGGTCTTTGAAGTGTTTGAAGATTACCTATCTATCTGAAATATATCTATGTATATCTAGAAAACTTAACTAACATGCTACAAGTTTGACCATCATAGAAGACTAATTATTATTCTGTATTTCTTAATTATCCATTACAATCTAAATGAGTTACATAAACATAATACCTCAAATGAAAATAGAAATATATATTCAGTATAACAAAATTAAGTTTAAACTTGTACCAATAAACTAAAATCCATAGCAGTGTAAAACATTTCTAAACAAGTTGTTGTTCTCTAAAAGTAGGTTCATTAATCTACCCTTTCATCCCACCACATCTGCAGAGGTATTATAAAACTAACTTGTAAATTAGGTATATATATATATATATATATATATATATATATATATATATATATATATTTGTGTGTGCTATATAATTTTATTTTTAATGTTTCTGAGATATATTAATTTAGAAAAGATAATTTTTTTTTTTTTTTTTCTTAATTTATTTTAATTTATTTTGCTATACAATTCAGTTCTACATATCGGTCACAGATTCCCTTGTTCTCCCCCCTCCCGTCCCCCTCACCTTCCCCCCAACGCCCCCCCCCCCCATTCCCATCTCCTCCAGGGCAAAGCCTTCCCCACAGACTGAGGTCAACCTGGTAGACTCAGTCCAGGTAGGTCTAGTCCCCTCCTCCCAGGCCAAGCAGAACAATCCTGCATAGGCCCCAGGTTTCAAACAGCCAACTCATGCAATGAGCACAAGATCTGGTCCCACTGCCTGGATGCCTCCCAAACAGATCAAGCCAATCAACTGTCTCACCCATTCGGAGGGCCTGATCCAGTGTGGACCCCTCAGCCATTGGTTCATAGTTCATGTGTTTCCATTCATTTGGCTATTTGTCCCTGTGCTTTATCCAACCTTGGTCTCAACAATTCTCGCTCATATAAACCCTCCTCATTCTCGCTGATTGGACTCCCAGAGATCCACCCGGGGCCTAGTCATGGATCTCTGCATCCAGATCCCTCAGTAGTTGGATGAGGTTTCTAGCACAACAATTAGGGTGTTTGGCCATCCCATCACCAGAGTAGGTCAGTTCGGGCTGTCTCTCGACCATTGCCGACAGTCTGTTGTGTGGGTATCTTTGTGGATTTCTGTGGGCCTCTCTAGCACTTTGCTTCTTCCTGTTCTCATGTGGTCTTCATTTACCATGGTCTCCTATTCCTTGTTCTCCCTCTCTGTTGTTGATCCAGCTGGGATCTCCCGCTCCCCCAAGCTCTCTTTCCCTCGACCCTTGCCTTTCATTACCCCCACTCATGTCCAGGCTGTTCATGTAGATCTCATTCCATTTCTCTGTCATTGGGCGATCCCTGTGTCTTTCTTGGGGTCCTGTTTTCCGGGTAGCCTCCCTGGTGATGTGAGTAGCAGACAATTCATCCTTGTTTCATGTCTAGTATCCTGCTATGAGTGAGTACATACCATGTTTGTCTTTCTGAGTCTGGGTTACCTCACTCAGGATGATTTTTTCTAGATCCATCCATTTGTCTGCAAACCTCATGATGCCATTGTTTTTCTCTGCTGAGTAGTATTCCATTGTGTATATGTACCACATTTTGTTTATCCACTCTTCAGTTGAAGGGCATCTGGGTTTGATCGATAATTTTTTTATATCTCAAAGTCTAAATGCTTAATTATTTGACAAAATGATACCACAGAAACATTTCATGTTATTAAAAGTTTTGTTACTCAATATATAATATATATGTATGATATATGTATGTATTCATCTGTGCATTTATTTCTTGCTTTGTTTCATAAAAGATTTAAGAATTCCATAGATAAACAGCAATCAAAATTGAAAGCAAGTAGTACAAGTTGGATATGGTATTGTTTGCCTATAACCCTAGCACTCAGGCGGCTGAGTAAATAGGCTGCTTCTGCGATTAAAGCCAGCCTGGGGGGGCTACCGAGTAGTTTGATCCTGGCTTGGGTACATAATGAGACCCATTCTCAAACAAATCCAAAAGTCAAAGACAGGAGAAAAAAAACAAACACAAGACTAAAAACAAGTGACACTGTAGATGGAAAAAGAAAAATCAGAGCAGGAAAGATTAGATAAAGTCTGATCTATACACTGTTGTTTACAAATGTATAACATAAGGCCTGGAAGCCTTTCTTAAGCAGGCCAGAAATAAGATTGGCAACCATCATAAAAAAGCTTACATATTCAAATGCATTAGTATTAGCAATATCTTTAAGGTAGAAACATATTAAACAGATCAGAAAATTTTTTTTATTGCTTTTCATAAAAAATAATGTATAACAAAATGAGTTTTCTCATATTATCTTCATGTTAAATTTAACAACATGCTAACAAATTGTCGGTGTAGTCCTTAAATTTAGGGAATACTTTGTGTAAAAAGGTTTCTTTAACAAAGACATTGTTGAAACCCCTTTTAAATGCATAGTAATAAGATGTAGAATAGTGAGATTTATGCAGTTCATCAA